TACTGTAAATATAATTTAGACATAGTTAGATAATTGCCTAATTAGTAAATTGGGGCTTTCTCGAGGTAGGAAGAACTGAATTGTAGTACTGGTTAATACTTTACATTATACCCATAATTTCATTTGTTCATACTCCTAGGAAGTACTGAAAATAGTCATGTTTAATGTTATTGTTGTTGTGTCTATAGAGTTTAGGAGGACCAGATTGGAAAAAAGTTGTAACTTTATCTGTTTATCCTCAATAAATAAAGTGTTATTATTATTATCATTATTATTAAAAAGATATCTCATACATGGTGGTCCATTGTAGGTAGTATTCTATTATAATCTACAATAAGCTGTCGTGGTTTGTGTCTGAACTGCCTGAAAAAGATATCTCAAACGTGGTGGTCCAGTGTCGGTAGTATTCTACAATAAGCTGTCGTGGTTTGTGTCTGAACTACCTGAAAAAGATATCTCAAACGTGGTGGTCCAGTGTAGGTAGTATTCTACAATAAGCTGTCGTGGTTTGTGTCTGAACTACCTGAAAAAGATATCTCAAATGTGGTGGTCCAGTGTAGGTAGTATTCTGCAATAAGCTATCTAAGAGGATCAAACACTCTCGACCTATTATTTACAGATACATGTACATTTTTTGAGACCCCAAAAATTCTCGCCCCAATTGCAACGTCAGATCATGCAACTATCCTATTAGATGCCAAAGTTCATGTAACTCGAAAAAACGCCATAAGAAAAGTCAAAGTTAGACCATTAAAACAATCGTCTCTACAAGGCTTCGACGAATACCTAAAACACTATGACTGGTTACCAGTTCTTTCTGAAAATAACGTAGATAACAAGGTCGATAACATTATTGACTTTTATTTTCCGACAAAGATAATTAAAGCACATGATGAAGACAAACCCTTCATAACTGGAAAAATTAAAAGTTTGATTAGTAAGCGAAACAAAGCCTACAAGAGCGGTAAATACATTCTCTTCAAGACTATTCGAAACCAAATTGTATCGGAGATTCGCGTGAGCAAAAGAAAATTTTATGAAGAAAAAATCCTCCCAACTTATCGACAAAATCCTAAAATATGGTGGAATAACATAAACGATATCGTTGGAAAGAAGAGAAATACCACACCGATGCTTCTTGACCATCTCCAAAATGAATAATAAGCAAACGGCTGATCACATAAATTCATTCTTCTCAAGTCTTACAAACGACTTCTTGGAAGTACAGGGAGATTGGCTAGCACGGGGTGAACTAGATCCCCTCCCAACAATTACTGATGAAAATGTTGCCAAAAGACTGAGTGATCTTACCGTCGGGAAGGCAGCCGGTCCATACGACCCATACATGAAATTGATCAAGATGTTCGCGAAATATTTTGCTATCCCTTTGGCCGATATAGACAACGAATCATTCATGTCAAGAATATTTCCCCAAATTTGGAAATTTTACACAGTCTGCGCGATTCCGAAGATTACGCCTTGTTCGAATGTTGAAGACCTGCGTCCAATCTCTCTCACTAGCGTCCTATCCAAGGTTCAAGAGTCGTATGTTGTTGAGTGGGTACGTGAAGATATAAAAGGAAAAGTGAGCGAAGCTCAATTTGGAGGACTGCCAGGTGCTTCAGCAGTCTTAGCACTTGTCTGTCTTGCACACAACTGGTATTCGGCTATGGAGAACCATGGGAATGTGGTGAGAATAATTTTCCTGGATTTTCGAAAAGCGTTCGACCTAATTGACCACAATAAGTTACTCCAGAACTTCGAGAAAATAGGTGTGAGACCAGCATTGCTAGCTTGGCTCGGGTCATACCTCCAAGGCAGATCACAAGTTACAAAAGTCGGAAACACTTTTTCCGACCCTGCATATATTAAAGGTGGGGTGTCACAAGGTAGTAAAATCGGTCCCTTAGCCTTCATAGTTCATATAAACGATCTCCCATCAGTGGTTCAGTCATCTGATGAGAACGGTGATACTGTTTCAATGTTTATGGATGACACTACCATGTCTGAAGTTTTAAACGTTTCCGATCATATCTCTGGAGAATCGATCGGCAACTCCCAACGTAATTTGGAGAGTGTATTACAATTTACGAACGACGAAAATATGCAACTGAATTTTAAAAAATGCAAAGAAATGCACATCGACTTTCGTAAGAATAAAACGGTTATACCCCCAACTACATTAGGGGAGCAGTCTCTCACTAAAGTAAGATCTTACAAGCTACTGGGTATCTGGTTCGACGATGACCTTAAATGGAAAACGAACACTGAGTACATCACAAAAAAGGCAGCTAAGAGACTATACTTTATGAAGAAGTTCAAAAGAAGCTCTGAAGACTTTCTACGTAGCAGTAGTGAGATCAGTTTTGGAATATAGCGCCCAAGTTTGGAACGGCGGGTTCACAATGGAGCAAAGCGAAGATATCGAGCGAATCCAGAAAAGAGCGTTAAGCATAATTTATCCGGAACTAAAATACCATGAAGCACTAATGGAATCGAACCTCAAAACGCTAACCGACCGACGCGATGACATGTGTGTCCAACTTATTAAGGTCATGTCAAACCCGAATCATAAACTTAACCACCTCTTACCAAAGAAAACTTCCCAAATAAAGCAACGAGAAACGAGAATGAATGAGGCAACGTACTATAACTTTGCATGTAAAACAGAACGTTTTAAACATAGTCCAATTGTATATGCAATTGGCAAATATAATCTTTATATTGCTAAGTAAGCATGAGGGTTTATATATTATAGTGAGTAATAACTAACATAATATAATTCTATCTGTAAATATGACAATAGTTTTAAGACTTTTTACATTGAACTAGCTTTAGTAAAGTAGAGACCATAGTATTAATACTTTTTACATTACATTTTATCATTGTAAAAGTTCTATCACTGTAAACATCACTGTATTTTAGCTTGTCAAGCTATTTAGTGAATGTAATAAACCATTATTATTATTATTATAAGCTGTGGTGGCAATATAACAAACATACTTGCAGGGAGGTCAGCACTCCGCCATGGATTGGACGCACCGAGCAAAACGAGGTGAGTTCGGGAAACTTCCAGCCACCCGAGGTGCGTCCAATCCCGGACTCACCGAACCTGCAAGTATGTTTGGTTTTTATCTCATGCCATTTCGGTAAAATGTACTGAAGAATTTACGCATTTTAGTATATAATTACTTGTTTGGATAACGAACATTCTAGCCGCCAACATGATACGCAAACAAACTAACTTAGGCTTAAATTGAAGGCTAAAGAAATTCTCTACAATATTCCCTTATTCTGGTCACAATGAAAATTCGGTCAATTAAAAAACACCCTTTAGAAAACATGTTATAATGTGAAAAAGAAAATATGAAACTTAACTCTAAAGCATTTTTGTTTATATTAGTCCACCTTTTCGCGCTCTGTATTCGTGGTTTTGTGTTTTTCGCCTGTTATGCTGTTTTTAAATTCAGCTCAGTGATCTTCTCTTTCATCAACCCATTAAGTTGCATCGCGCCGTAATGTGCCGTACTTTATTATTTTACTCCGTCTAATGCCAGATGATTTTACAATGGGTTAAGTTTTATCTCTTTATGACTGATGAAAAACAAAACATAGAAACATAGAAAACTGAAATTGAACAGTAAATATATAATATTGACATATTAGTGGTAGTAGTTACTTAATTTTATAATTAGGTGCTATTGCTGTTAATCATAGGGACGGACCATTAGAAAAGTGATGGGGGGCGGGGGTTTTCTAAAGGGCAAAATATTTTTTTTTGTACACCTATAGAATTTTTTTTGTCACTTGATGGCTGGAAATATATTTTTTTA